TGATTCCTTCAACCTTTTTGCTCTTGCCCGAGTCATAGGACCTCCATTTGTGCTCAATGGATCAAATTGCATTGCATCAGAGAAGATCGTGGAAGTATTCATGGATGACTTCTCGGTATTTGGGGACTCCTTATAGTGATGCTTGGGAAATTTGGAGAAAGTATTGGAGAGGTGCGAGGCAAAGAACTTGGTGCTTAACTAGGAGAAGTGCCACTTTATGGTGACTCAAGGGAATGTGCTAGGTCACACTGTATTTGCAATGGGGGTAGAGGTGGGCAAGTCCAAAGTTGAAGCAATTTGCAATTTGCCTACTCCCAAGATCATCAAAGACATTAGGTCGCTGGCCTTGTAGGTTTTTATCATTGTTTGATTAAAGTTTTTTGTGCATTGGCAAGACCCTTGACTAATTTGTTGGCAAAGAATGTTCCCTTTGTGTGGTCGAATGATTGTGAGGCATATTTTTAAAAACTCAAAAATATGTTAATTTCACCTCCAATCATGCAACCACCCAATTGGGAACTTACATTTGATCTCATATTATGCGACACGAGTTATGACAAGGTCGGTGCAATGCTGGGTTAAAGGCAAGACAAGAAAAGAGTCGAGAATGTGGTGGCGGACCATTTATCGTGGCTATGTTGTCCAAGACATTGACGAACACATCCCTATTCCTGACTCTTTTCCAGACGAGCATTTATTTTCCATTCATTTAGTTTGTCCATGGTATGTTGACATATGTATTTTTCTTGCCATAGGACAAATGCCCCCACATTGGAGCTCGGAGGACAAGAGAAAATTTATGGCAAAGGTGAAGTACTTTTACTTCAACAATTCAAATCTGTTCAAGTATTGCCCTAACCAAGTCATGATGAGACGCGTATCAGACAATGAACAACAAAATGTCATTTCCTTCTGCCATTCCGAAGCGTGTGACAGACACTTCTCTTCCAAGAAACTTTAGCTAAGATCTTACAATGTGGTTTTTACTAACCTACATTATTTAAAGACAAGGAAGTGTGACCCGAAGGAACATGTTGCCCCTTACCCTAATATTTGTCATATAAATCTTTGATTGTTGGAGAATCGATTTCATGGGTCTCTTCCCCATGTCCTATGGCTACCTTTACATACTCTTGGCAGTAGACTACGTATCTTAGTGAGTAAAGGCAATCCCTACTAGGACCAATGACCACCAGGTTGTGGTCAAGTTTTTAAAAGAAAACATTCTGTCTAGGTTTGGGATGCCTCGAGCTGTGATAAGTGATGGTGGTTTACATTTCTATAATAGGCCATTTGCTTTATTGATGCATAAGAATGTCATAACAGATATGGTGTCCATGACATATCACTCACAGACCAATGGTCAAGCTGAGTTGGCCAATAGGGAGATAAAGAACATAGTCGAGAAGATGGTTAACCCTAATTGAAAGTATTGGTCACTTAGACTAACTAATGTCGGGCTTACCGCACTGCTTACATGACCATTCTAGGTATGTCTCCCTATAGGTTAGTCAATGCCAAGGCCTGTCACTTGCCAGTGGAGATAGCACATATGGCATATTGGCTAATAAAGACTTTCAATTTCAACTTTGGCCTAACTAGGAGTCATAGGAATTTGCAGATCAATAAGTTGGAAGAGATTCGTAGGAATTCATACGAGAACTCTAGAATTCACAAAAGAAAGGACTAAAATTTTCCATGACAAATCCATTTTGAGGAATACATTTGAGCCCTGCCAAAAGGTGCTCTTGTGTAATTCCCGCCTCTCCCTTTTCCAAGGGAAACTTTGTTCTCGATGGGATGGACCCTACATTGTTAAGGTAGCCCATCCATATGGCGCTGTGGACATAGAAAACCCGGAGGATGGCAAGACATTCAAGGTTACTAGCCAAAGACTTAAACCATTCTTTGAGGGTTTTGAACTCAAGGAGGTTGAGGAGGAATTGATTGATCCGGTATACCCGGATCTTGTTAAGGAGTAGTTTTTCAGTAAATGTTAGAGTACAATTGTTATTTTTTTATTTTACTAGTTAAATTGTTGACTTACTATCTTTTGTATATATAGTGTTTTCATTTATTTTGCAACTGGTGGTGTTTTTGTTAAGGCTCAGTGCGAGGTGTTTTCTTACCCGTCTTGTATTTAATTCTCATTGCATACCTTTTTTGTTACATGGAGGACAATGCTTAGTTCAAGTTGGGGGGATGAGGTGCACAATTTACATGTTACATCATTTTGTTGATGATAAGTTGAAAAAATTGATAAAATTTTAAAATTGTTTGAAAAAAATCCAATATTAAATTATATTTTTCTTCCTAACTTGTCATGGGACCTTTATTTGCTTGATCTAAAAAAATTTTAACATATGAGTACACCACCATAGAAATTTATCCTACGCTTAAGGATCACATATATGTCTTCATTCAAACTTAACCAAAAAGCACCATGGAAGTGTAATTTTTTCAATTTACTAGATGAGATCCACATCTTATAGAGCTTGACATAAATAGTAGAGATGAATGACGTACCCATGTGAGCTATTGTGCCATTCTTTGTTAGAGGGTTAACTTACATGTACTCAAAAGAACAATTTTTTCAAATTCAATTCTATTCAATAATTTGATTATTCTTGTTTTGGTTAGTTTGCAAAATGATAGTTAATTGACGTGAACTAAAATGCATAACAGCACTTTGCCATGTATCTCTAAGAAATGATTTTAGGCCTTCTTTGATCTACTTTGAGCCTTAGCCTTTCCATTCGAAATATTGTCCCTAGTCACCGTGATTGAGCTGGAAATGAAAATTTTGTTTCTTTAACCACATGTTTGAGCAAGCCATGCTTAATATGTTTACCCAACCATTGTTATCTCGAGATAAACAATGCTTATGAAGATGTGATGGTGGAAAATGAAACAAAGGAATAATGTATGCATGTATTGAAAAAAAAAATTCAAAAAAAAAGGCAAAAGCAAAGAAAAGGGTAAAAAATGGTTAAAATGAAAGAATAGAAAAGGAGAAAGAAAAAAGTAATTGAAATGAAGGTGGATAGTCCAAAAAAAAAGAAGAAGATGAATTTGTGATTAGAATGTTATATTTTTGGGATAATCCACTTTTGAACTCCTTATTCCCTTCATTTCTCTTAGTCTAAATAACCCCAAGGCCACGTTATAACCGAAATAAGTACTTTTTTTTATCTTGAAGATACATGGCAAAAGTATGTTCTAAAGGAAAAGAAAAGTTAATTACACTGTGTTAAATTGCCCTAACATTCCATCCATGAGATAATGCCGAAGTCATTTCAATTGTTGAACATGCACTTCAATTTTGGACTACATGTGTGCTTTATTTCGTTTTTGAATATAAGATTCTGCTTCAGATATGAACATTGAGAGAAAGTCACTATAATCATAGGTATTCACTCTAACAGGAAACCCTTTGTGAGAATTGCATTGAAGCTGAATTTGAATAGCTAAAATGGATGTGGAGGTTTTTGGGTAAATTGTTTAAATTGCATGTTCATTTCACACACACACACACACAAGTCCTGAAGGGAGATATGTAGGTGAGTACTTTTGAATAGCATTTAAGTCTATGGTGTGACTCATGAGTAACTAGTTTGGGTGATTGTGAAAAAATTGTTCAAGACACCCTAGGGCTTTAAATATGTTTTAAATTTTGGATGTGAAAAAAAGGGGAATTAAAGAAAGTGAAGTTTGTAAGTAGCTTCACTATAAACCTTCACGGGACAAACTCGTCTGCTAGAGATCACCTAGTGGTTTAAAAATGTAGTGAGTAGGGTAGCAAGGGATCTTGAATACCATAGATCTTATTTTGTGCTTTACTTGATGGTTTTCATTTTGTTAGACTAAGAATTCCATGACATGTGTTTTGAATTTCTCATAGTAAATAGCATTGCAATTTCGTCTATGAATTCAGGTAAAGTTGGACAGTTTTCATACAGTAGTGTAAATCATGTTTTTATGTAGTTAAGTTAACCATGTAGGTTGTTAGAGTTAGATTAAAGTCAAATAAGTTGGACAAATTGGATAGAAGTGAAAGGGCATAACAAAAAAAAAATTGTAGATTTTTGGTCAAAGTACCGGTACGTTATCCATTTGGTACCGGTACCTACTTGGCAGAACACTTAACTACCGGTACATTCTTAACGAAGTACCGGTACCTCGTGTTTTGAAACTTTAAAATCAAAGGTTTAAAGGGTAACTCTCTAATCTCTTCATTTCATCGATCAAATCTTGGATTTTAGCAACTATGATGTTGAAAGGTAAGCGAAAAACAAACAGGCACAGGTGTCCATAGGAAGACCGAGAATGTAAGCCTAAGTTCAAATGAGCCTAGCAAAAAAAAAAGAATGATCATTCGGAGGCGATGGGGGTTAGAAATGTGACTTGCGAGCGGCAAGTCGATAGGAATACTTTGGGGCCTAGGGATGTTATAGTGAGAGCCATTGAAAATCATGGTCTACATTTTTTGGTTCGAGGAGGTGAAGGGGTATGTGCTTCCCAATGTTAGGAGTTCTATCAGGCATTGGTGGTTATGGGTGAAAATCGAGAAGTGTTGAGAACCACGGTAAGGGGAAAGGTGATTGATGTTACCCGACATCGATAGTTGTGATCCTGAAGTACCAAAGGCCTCAAGCAAACTAAATTGATTACCCCCACCCCACTAAGCAAAGGAAGGAACTTCATGAGTGCGTGCAGTTGATGTCTAAAGACACCGCGGGGTTAAAAGGAAAAATCCATACCAGTGGGCTCTAGCATAGTTATGGGGTCTTGTATAAAATCCTCCACTATAATGTTCTACTAAGGGGTAGAAAAGAAGCCGGGGTAGAGAAGATGACTCTGTTGTACGAGTTCATAGCGGGTCCTGGATGGACATTACGAGGATGATTTGGGAGTTTATGAGAGATTATGCCAAGGCCGCGAAGCCTAGGGCGAACATGCCTTATGCACATTTAGTCTCTTAAATCTACTTAAGGGCCTAGGTGAAAGTGCTCTCTAGTGATGTGACGTCCCTGCCTGAGTATGTCCCATTTGGTAAACAAAGAAGCAAGAAAAGGAAGGCTATTACTAGGGCGACTAGGCATTCGGGGGAGAAGACTGAGCCACTTGCATCCATATCCACTCAAGCGAGGACTGTTCCCTAGTGACTGACTAGGATTGGGGGTAAGTCAGAGGACATAGGGCAAGCCATAGTTGAGGACCAGGGAATTTTGGAGTTGTTAAGGCTGATGATGAAGAGAGTCTACGAGCAGGCATTCCCGGGAGAGCCTCTACTGTGGTACCTCCACCCCCAGTTATTCTTTTTGAGGTTCCACATGTTGCCACACCTGATATTCCACCACTTACTCCTGGGGCTAGCACTTCTGCATAGCCTACTACTGCCATTCCTTCAACTTTTTTGCTAGACGTTGAGGACTTTGGTGATGAGGAGAAGGGTGATGTTGAGGGGGAAGAAGGTAGTGATGATGAGGGTGATGGTGACAGGGCAGATGAGTAGAGGGGAGAGGAAGAGGAATTGAATGCAACCACGAACGATGAAGGAACCACAAGTGATTGTCCTTTCTCTTGTTTTGCAACTTTTTAGGAACTTTTGGTTAGTAGAAGCAAGTTTAGGTTGATAGGCATAGGTAGAAGAATAGGCTATTTTGTGTTCTTCTTTGTAAGGAAAGAACAATTTTTTTATTTTTTGTATTTAACTTTGCCCCAAACACATTGGCTTAATTGCAATTCAATTTAATTGTTCATAAATAGTTTATTTAATGATCGACATGTATGGAAATTTTGTTGTTGGTTTATATCTATCTTTTCGAATAAGATTTGCTAGGGACTAGCAAAATTCAAGTTGGGTGGTGTGATGTGTGTGTGTAATATTGTATATTTAGCGGTCTTATTACATTCATTTTAGCTTGGTTTTGCAATGATTTATTTGAATTTAGTTTCATTTTAGCTTCATTTTACATTCATTGAAAACATTGCTCTCTTAATTTTACTCATTTTTGCATTGAAATTCTTTTGTTTTCTCTCTGATTTTCTATCAATGGCCGAATTTTTATTTTCTTTTTCTCTCTCTTTTTTATTGGCCTCTCTAATTTTCACTCTTTTTCTTTTGTTCACTCTCTTTTGATCATTCTCTTTTTGCATTCTCACTTGATCCTTATATACTTGTTGCGGTGTCAATGATACAAGAGTGATTGATCGTTGATTAAGCACAAAGGAGTATTTGTTCGTAAAGCTATCATGCCTCACATGCCTTTCAAACTGCCATGGACGCCATACCAATAAGTGTCCCGCTGGCATCGACACTACATAACACAACACTTTATCTTCATACTTACCAATTCGAAATGCAACTAACACCTACTTGTTCACCCTTATCTCACCACTATCATTTAACCATTGCAACTTGTACAGTTTAGGGTGCTTCAACACGGGTAGTCCCAATTTTCCACCACAATTGTGCTTGCAATATTAGTACAACTACTACAATTAATAATCACACTACACACCTTGTCTTTGATGTAATCCACCTCTTTTGCATGCACGCTCAATGCTCTCGTCGCCACCAACATCAATGCATCAGGGGCTAAATACTCCTCCTCGGAAACGTCCACCAATGGTGGCATGTCGTCGGTGTCAGAATCTTCATTATCGATCACTATTTCACCATTGCCTGGCAACAACATTTTTTCTTGCTTGTTTGGATATTGACTTGCTATGTGTCCTCTGCCTTGACATTTAAAACATTTAATGTCATGATTCCTAGTGGTAGAAGTGTCAATTTTACCTTGAGGAACGTGGCTGGTGTTTGCAAACTTGGGCTCAGATTTGGACGTTTGTGACTTGTCCATTTGCCCCAAGAGGTAGAACTAGAGTTATGGGCTGCATGTGACCCACACCCCTCTTGAGTTACTGCTCCACTTTGATGGCCATGTGCAGCATATCTTCTAACTTCACATAATGCTGCATCTCTACCTTAGCCATTGTAGCCTCTCAATCTCCTCTACATTAGCTCGGATCATCGTAATCTCCATCTCCTTGTAATAATCATCCACGCTTCGGCTTCCCTGTCTAAGACCTTGTTGCTTTTTGTACAACTCTCAGTAGTAGTAACTTGGAACGAACCGCTTTCTCATCACTGTTTCCATCTCCTCCCATGTCTCTATTGGCCGTTCTCTATTTCGCCTTGTGTTTATAACAAGCTGATCCCACCAAGTAATAGCATAGTCAGAAAACTCATTCACAGCTAATTTTACCTTCTTTACTACAAAATAGTTGTGGTAGTCAAATACGAACTCCATCTTCTTCTCCCACTCAAGGTATGCTTCAGGATCGGATCTACCTTGAAATGACAGAATCTTCATCTTAATACCACCCAAGTTGTTATCTTCCCGATTCCTAGCTTCTCTAAACTGCCCTCTATGTCTCCTATTACTAACAACAGAATTCCGATCATCTTCTTCATCAAAACCAGTCCCCCATAAGGCTCTTCATCTTCAACCCTCACTTCCCTCGGTTGAACTCTTTCCCTTCTACGCATATTAGGGATGTTTTGTGGCTGCTTCTCAGGTGTATTCTCCATCTGATCTATCCGTTCGTGAACCTACTCTAGTTCCAACTCATCACAGGCCTCATCTCACTTCATCATGGCCTCCATAAACAATTTCGGTCAGCTAGTTCCATGGCATCTTCTGCCATGTTCTTAGAACTATTGTGAGACATGATTGCTGCAAAACAAAGTTAGAAAAAAAAAAGAAAAAAAAGAAAAAGGACCTCACAATTCTCTCCCTTACATGTTTACTCTCAAGAATGTGAATCACTCTACACTCGTGTTTCACTCAAAAAAAAAAAATACTTGGGTTTTAACCCTCTAATATTTTCACCACTCTTGCCTTTTTCCACTCGATAATTCTCTTTCAGTTCTTTTGAAACTAATCAAACATTACTCAAAATTTCTAGCAACAATTCTCCAAGAACTCATCAAAGAATTTTAGGTTTAAAGAGCAAGAATACAAGGAATACGGCTGATTAGATTTTTACGAAGCAACAAATAGCAAGATTTCCACAAAAAATATCTGATTTTGGGGTGTGGTGATTTGCGGGCTTATTGGACTCAAAATGGTTGAAAACAACAATTTCGTAATAACTAGAACCAAATAGTTTCGGGCTTCTCTTTTTTTTTTTTTGACTCCTTTCGGCCTTTTTTTTACTCCTATATGTTTTTTTTTTGATGATCATAAACTACCTTTGATAGTAAAAGAATAAGATTTCGTAATTAAACTAGAACCAACAAAATACGAGCGGAATGGGAGTAAAGGAAATTTGGCTAAACTAGATTTTGTGAACCGAATTTGGAAGTAAAGAACACAGAATAAAGAAAAGAAAGGTTTTAAAAGATAGGCAAACCTGAACTTGAACCTTTGCTCTGATACCAAATGATGTGGAACCCGCAAAAATAACGAGATCTGACAATGAAAAGGAACCCAAGATCATTCTACGATCAAAATGGAATGTTAGACCTCGACCAGTTGTTTACGACAAACAAGAACCTTGGTATATATGACCTCAACCCGCTTTTTGCTGTGAAACAAGAACCTCGGTGTAAAGGAAGACGCCACAAACGGTGGTGGAAGCCCGATTGATAAGTCGCTGGTGAATGCCATGGGAAATCCTAATAAGTTTGAATAGTTCTTCAAAGAACCGTAGAGAAAATACTCTCCAGTTTGTTAAATAATGATCTGCTCTTTTTATTGATTAGACGCCTATTTAAAAGGCTGGCTATTACAAGGAAACTTCCTAAAATAGCTATCCTAATTAAGAAATAAATCTTACTTGCTGGTAAAGAAATATCTCTTACTTGTTGGTAAAGAAATGTCTCTTACTTGCTGGTAAAGAAATAACTCTTACTTTCTTAAAAGAGAAAAAGACAATCAGCCCTTTAATTGGCTAATCACACGCCTAACATAGACATGGAAAGTCTTACTTTCCTAAAAGAAAAATGATGGCAAGCAAGCCTTACAATCAGACCCAAAAAAAGGGTAATCTTAAACATGCCAATTTGAGCCTAGCCTTAGCTAGATTCTTCTAGAACTTGAATCATGTTGATGACTCTTTATTGCTCAATGGGCCTCCACAAATTTGCTTGAGTCCATGCCTCTTGAATCAGTCCATTGAGTACCTCTTAAAACTTCCTTGCTCGTACTCTCGTAACCGGCCCAATTGAAACTTGAACTAGATCCCTTGAAGTTCTGCTATGATTTGCATCAGTATAGGTACCTAGAAGAATTAGTACCGGTACTTAAGTCCACTAGAAGTGAAGCGCTGGTACCATCATCACTTGGTATCAGTAACTAAGCCCAAACTTCCCTAAATTTTTCTCTCTACGTTCTCATAAGCAATGAGGGTACTCCTAGGGATGTGTAAGCCATATTATGGCACTATTAACACTCCACCATGACCTCTAGCCACTACATTCAACTTTCAAGCAAGAATGAGTGGAGGGAAAGAAAGACAACAAGAGGTAAGGGGAGTGGTTGGAAAAGACCAGGAGACCATGCTTTTTGCTGATTTGGGAAGAAAACATAGACAACCTCTCTCCAATCAAGGAATTCTTAGCACTTTGGGGGTATTATTCAGAGAACATACATTACATTCTAGTTTTTAGAGAGAAAAGTTCCAAGGAAGAACAAAAATGGAATTTTAGAGAGAGAAAGTTAGGTTTTTATAATTTCTTGGTCATTTTTGTTATAGTAAGTTTCTATATTTAACCTTTTCTTTGGCTAGTTTAAGTTAGTGTTTGTTTGTTTGTTTGTTTTTTTTGTGTGGATTTTCCATTTTTCTTAGCATTTTCATTTCATCTGTGCCCGGTTAACGTATTTGTTGGCGAAATCCAAGGAAGGATCTCCATCCGCGTATGGAAAAATTAACCTGACACGTTGCCTTGTAGTGTAATGTGTTGACTTGGTAGAGTGCAACATATATGTTTGTACACATTTGATGCACCATAGACTTGTCACGGGGCATGCCTGTCGTCATTTCAAACATATATGAATCAATCTTCCTACAAATCAATTTAACACCATTACACACATTTGGTAATTCTTGATTTCTAACTCCAATCTTTTGATTAAATAAAAACACTTATGAGTTCAATTGAGTTATAAATAGGATTGATTAACCATACCCAGTGGAATGAATTTTGAGGATTAGCCAACCCTTTTTTATTTAGAGTTTGAAACCCTGAATCTCATGATTCCCTAACACTTCCAAAGAACCAATTTTTACTTTTATTTTCAAAATCACTTTTGAAATAATTAGCCTTGACCTTCCCTGGGAAGATGACCTCAAATTTTTTTTTGAGGTAATACATGACACATAAGCCTCTCTGCGCTTGGGGAACAACTTTTGCACTATCATAA